TTTTTTTTTTTTTTTTTTTTTTAATTTCTTCTTTCATTTGTTCAGTTATTCTGTAGTCAGTCAGTGCCAGGAAGTGAACAGAGTTAAGTAGTACAGTCTACACACGAGGCGAGGACATATTTATAATACCTGCACGTTCAAAGGATTTTCTGCTGGGCATAAATGATGGATCCATACCCCAATTCCTTTGGAATCGATTAATCTGAATGATAAAAGCAAGTAATAGAGATTACAGAGGGTGATGACACAGTTGAATGATTTTTTTTTATTTTTTTTTCTTTTGGCGATTCTTGCCAAAACCACAAACAACAAATGAAAATTAGAAGGAAAAGTTAAAAAAAATATATAATAAAAAGAACCTTAGTAATAGAAGGAAAAAAAATAAACAAGGAATGAAAGTAATGCAAAAACATAACCTCTTCTTGCAGATTTTCAAGATTATCCCAGTAACCTTTTGGTTTTCGGCATTTGTAGGCAAGGGACAAATTCATCATTGATGCAATTTTCCTAAAGCCACCCATGCGCGTGATGGCCTTCTCAATGTCCACCCTTCCATGCTTCCTTAGTTGCTTTCTCATGGGCATAAATCCTTCCTGTCCGTATTCAGAAATGAAATTCAGGAGCTCCGATTTAAGAACTTCAATATCTCTCTGCAAGCCTGGAACTTTTGGTTTTTGCCTTGATAAACTAGTGATGCAGTTAGAATTCTCAGCTTCCATACTGTAATTATAGGAGCTTCTGTTGCTCGGTACAGCCATCATTCTCTCTGCATGACTGTTGTTGGCCGTGTCCTCGTGATTTTCCATCTCTTTTTTTTCTATGTAATCACGAATAGCACACAAATTTGAAGGAAGATCTTCGTAAATGACCTGAAAGCAGGAAACTTCATTGAAAAAAGAATCTATAGGCATGTGTCGTCGAAGCAGTAGGTTAGTGTGACACATTATATACCCACACACACACACACTACTACACAAGTAATCTGCACATGCGATGCACATGGTAGTGAATGTCTTTGATTGATTAAGTTTAGTAAAATAAAAAAATTAATTTATTCAACATATCTTTGCATAAACGAAATAAAATGTAGAATAAATGAGCTCGTGATGTATTTTTTTCTTTTTACAAAAGTAACATAATGTTGTCCTAATATAAAAAGAATGAAATAACATATACAACCCCAACAAAAATATAAGGAAAATTAGTCCCTAATTGACAAAAAAAAAAACACAAAATAACTAAATAAGGATACTAATAAGGACATAAGGTATATTATAGATATATTAGTTTTAAATAGTTATGTTTGATGATTAAAGCCTTACCACTGCTGACCTTGAGCATGGGTAAAGAGAGTAATGTTATTTCATTTTGATTTTGACGTTCTTATAAGAAACATTTATACCCGTTGAAACAAGGATTTGCTAAAACTTTGTAAGATTTGCTGAGATTTTAAAAGAAAAAACCATATACCAAATCTTGGTCTAAATCCCGCCTCACGACTTAAGATTTCACAAGATACCATCCTAAATCTGACAATCTCAAAAAGTCTCAAAATGCCACTCATACATCTCCAGTCTTTATTCTACTCTAGTGTAGAGTTTACTCTACTCTCGAGTAGAGAATACCAGAATTTAACTTTTGTATCCAGCAGTTCGCGCTACATTTTACTTTACATGAAATATATTAGTACAAAATGAAATTTAAATACAACTATAAAATCAAAATTTTAAATAATTTAACAAAATAAATTTTATCAAAATAATAAATAAAAATCAATTAAAAAACTAAAAATTGAAGAAAAAAAATTGTAGCACGGTGAATAGTACCGCGATACATGTAGCACAATGCGAAAATGTAGAGCAACATTGAAGCAAGTTTTTCGCACTACTCTGTAATATGCGCAGGGCTCGAGAAGGTCTCAAAATCTCGAACGAATATACACCCTTAAATATACGACATATAGCCAACAAAAAATAAATTTAAGTTATCAAAAATTTTTAACATATAAATCATGTGCTTCCCAGTTTTCAAACAATATAACGCAAACGAGTGTGAATACAAATGGAAAGGCAGTAAGCAGAGAGCAAACCTCTTCCATAATAGCTTCTGAAAGAAAAGAGTTTTTGAGCATCTTTGACTCTACCGAATACTTCAACAGCGTATGGTGAGTGCCCAATTTCTCTAGAATCCATTTCCCGCGAAATGCATCGAAGTCTCCTTCAACTTGCTCAAAACTGATTTCTCGTGCACGAAGCTCGCACAAATCAAGCACAACACGGGCATGGAGAACCATATACAGCAAACCTTTGCAACCTTCCTACAAACCATAGTAATCATTCTTTTAAACCTATCAAAATATGGTCTACATGTTATCTAAAGGTAGTTTCTAGGGGATGACTTAGCCAAACAAATAAAATTCAGGAATAAATTGAGTAATATAGAATGTGCTAGTAGATCAAAAGATTTTAGTTAACGAGCAGAGACCAAAGAGTAAGATGTGAACGTAGCTGGTCATCGATACAATAGAATCCTGGTGCATCTCTTTTAACTGTGGGGGTCTTTCCCATATGGTTTCTTAATTTTTATCTTCAGTTTTTAAAACAGGATTAGAGGCAGGAGATTAAGTACCGATTATGTTTCAAGGATAATAGGATCTCATAACTAAAAAACAATGGGAAGAAAATGTATGCTTCTGTACCTGAAGAATGCGAACTTTATTGTTTTCCCGAGATAAAACCTTGCTGATAGCTAAATTAGGAACTATCCTGCAGTAGATTGATTAGAAAGACAGGCGAATAAAATTCCTATGCAAGTGGCTTCAGATCTGGTAATTTAATTAGTCTACAAATAGAAAAAACAACATCAACTGAAAGCACCCATCAAATTTCTCCCCCTGTCAAATTCCCTGAAACTTATCTCTGAAACATGCATACTAAACCATTTCAAGAGCACAACGCTTCTTGACGATAAAGTGGAAAGGCTTAATAGATAGATTTTCCATGGTGTGCAAAATAGAGACAATTTGACTTACTCGGGAAGACTCTCATACGCAGTTAAAATGCTCCACACTTCACGAACAGGAGCTTTTACTGTTATGCAGGCAACAACACATCGATGAACACCTCCATTTTCCTTCATCCCCGAAACATGTATATCAATATTTGTTACCCAAAAACGCAGTTTTAAAGAGGTCTGGAGTAGAGTAAAAAACTCAATCAGACTTACCAATAAGCCATCAAATCTACGAAGGTGAACTTCATCCACCATGCATGGTCTGTCGAGCGGACAAGATTTCCCTAATATTCCCCAGTGACTGTTTAAGTCACCAGTGGAAGGGGGCAACGGGACAAACGTATCCTTGATACCTTGAGAAGTGGAGCCTTCTACTTTGAGAGAGTGCTGATTCAAAGAACCTTGAGAGACTGTATTCAGGTTCCCTTTGAAATCGGACTCGGATCTGAATGCTAAGGCCTGGAGATTTACGGGAAGATCTGAGCTTATAATCCTCTCCAGAAATATTGCCGGGAAGTTGAAAGTTGGTATAACATTCACTTCATATCCCAAAGTTGTTGAGGAGGACCTTCAAAATGGGAGAAGAAATTCAGATGACATTACATGTATATAATTCAATCTCTCAAGAAATTTTTGAAGCAAGAAACAGTTGAGAAAGTAGGATCTGACGTGGTTCAGCCATTTGGCTTGTGTCCATAGACAAACGATCCTATCATCCTAAGGGCTATAATAGCTCCATTCCACTCTAAGGATTAAAATATCACAGTAATAAAGGTATAAACACAAGAAGATGATGCATAGACGAAGGAAAAAAAAAAAAAAAGAAGAAGAATTGAAAATTTCAACTAAATCAAGGCAACCAATTTGATTGACTTTGATCTTCGACAATCTTGGTTCTCAACGTAAGTCATGATGAGCATTTTTCCAGTCTCGGTCAAGTGAACTACTTAATATTGCAAAAAACCACACCAGAAATTCTATGGAGCCATCGGATGGCTCCCTTATGGAGTCATCCATAACTTTATATACTGACACCTGTCCAATGTGCATTTATTGCAGGACACGTGTCAATACATCATTTGTGAATAACAATGGATGGCTCCATAAGCCGAGCCATCCAATGGCTCCATACCAAAACCGAAAACCACACATGGCCATCCATTAGGATATCTGGCAAATGGATCAGTAAATTCAGGTTATATTTTAGGTTCTGATCTTAGGACTAGACCATCAGTAAAAAGTGATCAAATGCCAAGAAGAAGGTGCGAGTAGCTATGCTAGACACGATAGACTGTGACACTCTTTCTTTCTCTTTGTTTCTTTGTTTCTTTTTTTCTTTTTAATTCTAAATGATGATGGTTCATTTTCTTATGAACATGAAAGGGATATGTGTTCCTACTTTAACTCTTTACTTAGTTTGCTGATTGAGTGCATCATCAACGTAATGGCTAAATTAAAGTTCTAACTTTAAAGCGTTATATTCCAAACCATGGATTTTGGCTTGAAAACCATAGGAACTCGCCACATTTTATGTGAGAATGCGAAAGTGTGCCCAAACCATGGATTTTGGCTACAAACAATATAAAATGAAAGAAAAATGTGCAGCATATATACCCTTTTTGAGACTTCACTGACCATTTGCCTTCAAATTTCTTGAAATCTCCATCGACCATTGAAAAGTGAAGTTCACGATCGGTCTCCTGAATTACTAGAAATGTTGAAATTCCACAAGAAGCATAGAGGAACTTACTGAAAGAAAAAGAAGGCTGAAAAAAAAAAGAAGGAACGAAAGGATAAAGACAGTTCATTATGGGTAACATCCACAATCACATATAAATATCAAACCAAGGTCCTATACAAAGATTAACAGAATTTTGTCTAATGAGCTTATCACTTAATTTGACAGTTTTCCTCTGCGTAAAGATTTATTATCAATAGAGATGTTAAAATCGACTAGCTCTTTGGGCTAGTCCTAATGGGTTTCGAACTCAATTGTCAACAAGCACGAAAATAAATTTTTGTTTGGTAAAACTAGTTGATAAATTATAAGTGAATTTCGAGCTGATAATATTCAACTGACTTATTTAAAAAGTTACGCAGATATAAGCCCGAGCTGCTTAAAAAGCTCGGGGTAACTTGTGTAAATAGCGAAGGGACAAGTATGAAAACCCTAACAGACAATATAGAAAACTTAACTATACATATAAACTTTTCAGAGGAGATTCTGACTTGAGTGTTGGAGTCTTTATTTCCGAGGATGTTCAGACTTGAGGATATGAGGCTTCACGCCAAACACCTCCGAACACCTTTTTGCAAGTGAGCAAAGCTTTTCAGAGGACGATTTAAGCTTTACCGAATTGTAAAGAGGTACTATTCACATCATTATAATAACTAGTACGTACCACGTGCGATGCACGAGACAGAGATATTAAATGAGTTATTTTTACAGGTTTTCTCTACTTAAGTCTAAAAACAATAGAGTTATCATCTACTTTCCACCATAGAAATATTAAATGAGTTATTTTTACAAGTTTTGTCCGTTTAAGTCTAAAAAGCAATAGGGCTTCATCTATTTTTCACCTCTTTTAATCACCGTCAAGTCTGAAAAGTTATAATCTATTTTCCACCTCTTTTAATCAGCGTTGTTTTTTTAGCCAAAACATTAAATATGAGCATGTTAGGGCTAACTTGTAAAATAATTAATATATTATCTCTTTTTTTTCTTTTTTTCCAAAACGATAGATTATATTATAAATCAAAATGCATAAATGTGCGAATACACAGCAGCCAACAGCTGAAAAAGTGGAGGACAGGTCATAAGACCGCCTAGAGTCCCGGCTAGCAACGCTAGAATAAATCTAGCAACTAAAACTAATCAACTAAAACAACAAACAACAACTAAAAAGACCCTAACAGGGTAATACCCGAGTGTCGGATCTCATTTGGATTATAAGGTGACACTCGGGTTCAATGAGGCCAAACGGCCCAGACCACAAACACAATCCTAAATAACACTAATAACTGAAACACAGACCAATCAGCAAGAAAAAAAACAAAACATAAACATAAAGGGGGCACAACCTCCCTCGCTAGATACATCTAGATAGACGGCAGACAAACCAACTCCAACGACGACTCCCG